GTAAAGGAAGCATTAAGGAAATTAAAAACTAGAAAATCACTAGAAGAGGAGAGAATACCGAACGAAATCCTAAAGCACGGAGGATCCTCAAGAATGGAGATCAAGCATCCTAATGCCTCTCTTCAAAAAGGGAGACAAACCGGAACCGGAAAATTACAGAGAAATTAATTTATTAACCACAACACTAAAGTTAACAAAGTGATAATAAATAAACTGAATTAAATTATAATACCAACAGAAGTACAACACAATGTTAGATCAGGAAGATCATGCACCGAGGCTATATTTATAATAAGGCAAGTGCAAGAAAAATCATTGGAATACAACAAACCGGCATATCTATTTTTTGTGGACCTTAAGAAGGCATTTGACCGGGTCAAATTGAAGGACGTTATCCACTTATTGTACGCAAGAGAGGTACTTATAGGAATAATCAAAACGATCAAAAATATCTACCAAAGCAAAAAGTAAAAGTAAAAGTAAAAGGAGAAGAAGAACTAACCAAACCTATTAAAGCTGGCAATATGTTTAATCTGATGGGTGATAGATGAAGGGTGACACTTCATTTCCCTAGAACTGACAAATTTACTCCGAAACTGAGGAGCTAAATGAGTCAACAACATTGCGATGTGGAAAATCACGGAATGACTGACATATTAAAGATGCGTAAGGATATCCTTAGGACACCACAGTGGCTGAAAATCTTAAAGAAGCGTCCCTTAGCCCCAGGTGCCCTTTAAGTGGGCTTAGGGTGATAAGAGTAAGTCAGTCAATAATATCGCAATTTTGAAAATAATCAACCTTATGTTGTGAAACACAGAAGTTTTTTACATTTTTCCACAGTAAAAATGACCAAAATATGGAAGGACTGTCAAATTTTAAGAGCGATAAAGATGAGGTTGATCAACTGCTTAATATTCCCAATACTGACCTACGGATGTGAATCTTGGACTCTGAGACAATCGGAGAGAAGAAAGATAGACGCCACTGAAATGTTCTGTTGGAGACGAATGTTACGAATTCCTTGGACCGACCGTAGAACAAATAATTCAATTTTAAGAGAGCTAAAAGTTAGCCAACGACTCTCTAGTAATGTCCATCTCCAACAATTAAAATAATTTGGGCATGTTATGAGAGCAAACACAGAAAACATGGAAAGACTCATAATACAAGGTAAGGTAGAAGGCCGAAGATCACGAGGAAGATCCCCAACAAGATGGATAGATCAAATTACAGGAATATGCCAAAGACCTATGCATGAATTAAAAGAAATGACCAGAGATAGAGATCTCTGGAGACGGGCAATACACGACATCACATCGACCACTACACTCCCCCTGGGGGATCAGGATTGAAGAGAGAGAGTTGTGAAACAATAAAAGCAGATATTTGATGTTGCATTGAAGTTCGATGGCCAAATTCTAGAGTAACAATTATAGATGAACGCTATATCTATTATTCGGGAGATACATATAGAAATACAACAAAAAACAGAAATGGCGTAGCGATAATAGTAAAAAGGGAAATAAGTCATAGAAGTAATTGTTAGATAAAACGGAAGTACCTAAAGCAGTGATAGGATTCACGCCCATAACAGACAGAGTTGCGTTATTGAAGCTTAACGTCACACAGTCTAATAATTTACCATTAATTAGACAACAACAAAAATCGATGCATATATACCAACGAAAATAGCTAAAGAAAAGATTTTAATAAAAATATAGACCAATGATTGAATTAAAAGGACATGGAAGATTTATTTGGGGAGCCCAGCATACTACAAGTAATGAAAACACTGCGAAAAAAATGGTTAGGTCATATTTAGAGTACGCCAAAAAGCAGACTATTAAAAAAGGTACTATCAAGCACAATCGGAGAACGTCAGAGTAGAGTAGACCCAGAACAAAGTAAAAACCGAATGTAGATACGAATCTAAAGGTACTAAACGTCATTTGGATGCAAAAATTAATTGACTATAAAATATGGACCAAAACGGCCAATCAAGCTATATACCTACTAATCTCGATGCTCTAATTACCATTATTTATATTTTATTTATTTCCGATTCTTTAAATTGCTTTTTATTAAGTTTATATGTGTTGTCGAGTTACATAAAGAACATACAATTATTTTATGCACTGCTAATTTGTTATACTTTCCTAATAATAATTCGCTGTAAACTAAAAAGTTTGCTAAAAAAAAGTTCCGTGTTGGTCTCAGCTTGCGTAAAGGAGGAACTCTGAACTAGGGATGGAAAAAACCTACCGGTTTCAAGCGAAAACCGGTTTTTTTACTTCGAAATAACCGGTTTTATCGGATCCCCGTGGATCAACTGAGGACGTGACACAGGTCAGCAGATATGTCATTAGTGGCCTGTGGCTGAGGAATACAATTTATGACAGGTGCGGTATTACAACCACAACCAACAAGTTCACCACAAGCAGTGACCACAGAATGATACGAATGAAAGTCCAAATCAACACAAAAAGGGAAAGAAATATAATGATGTATCTGGACACCCCCCATTAAATATCAACCAATATCAGGCACATATCAATAATAAGCTACTATTGTATGAAACCTCTGAGAACGATCTTAACGGCTTGAATAATTGCATTATAAACGCTTTACAAGAAAGTCATCGAGTGCACTACCCTACAAGTAAATCAGATAGTAAAATAAAAAGTCCATATACAGAAACCCTGCTAGATCAAAGAAGACAAACGAGAAGCGATAAGAATGCAGACAGCAACACTCTAAGATAAATGAATAGAAATGTTTCGAAGGCAATCAGGAAAGATTTAAGAAAATTTAATACCGATAATATTAAACGTAATATACAGGAAAATAACAGCTGAAAAGTTCTACGTATAAAACTAACAAATGGGAAATGCAAGATTTATAATGGAATTCTACGAGGAATTATATGGAAGTAGACGAGAAGAACAAGTAAATATAATAAACAGTCATTTTAAAGTAGATCATGATTTAATGAACACAATGGAATTGTGTTCGAAGCTATCTTAAATGGAGGAGATATGTTATTAAATCAATTAAGGAAACTGTGCAATCTATGTTTGCAGCAAAAAGGGGCGCCTAAAGAATAAAACAATGTCATAACCATATTTTTACATAAAAAAGGAGATAGAACAGACCTAAAGAATCATAGACCTGTTACCCTGTTGAACCACATATACAAGCTCTTCACTAGGTTAGTGACATCAACATTAGAGAAAAAATTAGATTTCTACCAACCGAGAGAGCAGGCAGGATTGCGATCAAATTATGATACCAATGATTACTTCCATACAGTAAAGACGCTCATTGAAAAGTCTATAGAATACAACAAACCTTTTGTCCTCACTTTCATAGAAGCAATGAATGATAGCAGGATTGACCATAGGTATAATGAACTTATCTACAATATTTACAAAAATGCCACTATAACTGTTAAGATACACGATAAAATCCGACCAATAAAACTAAAACGTGGGATAAGGCAATTATTCATAACGGCATTAGAGTATCCCTTTAAGATGGTCAATTAGGACCACAGAGGAGTAACAATTGAAGGCGAAAAACTTAACCATCTACATTTCGAAGATGCCATTGTCCTAATCACAGATAATTTAGGAGAAGCCACAGATATGTTTAATGAATTGCACTTTGCTTGTTCGAATGTGGGCCTCAGAATGAACTTATCCAAAACTAAGTTTATGTCAACTATGGTCCCCAATAACCATTTGACTATTCAAAACAAAGTGGTACACCTGGTGGAGAAATATACGTATTTGGGCCACGAAATAAGAATCAGCAGGGATAACCAAACATGGGAAATATAAAGACGAATTACTTTAGCGTGGACAGCCTTTGGAAAACTGCGAGACACACTTAGGGCCAACATACCAATTAGCCTCAAATTTATTTTTTATTTGAAAAGTATTTGACCAATGCGTATTACTAGTCATGACCTATGGGTGGAAACTATAACTCTAACCAAGACTACGGCTTCGAAATGGAGAGTGGCACAGAAACGAATGGAATAATCTATGCTGGGAGTAACGTTGCAGGACCGAATAAGAAACGAAGATCTGCGAAGAAGGATGAGTATTGCTGATGTTGTGGAACGCATAGCCGAACTAAAATGGAGTTGGTCAGGCCATGTAGCGGTAATACATGACTCACGATGGACGAGCAAAATTACACATTGGAGGCCAAGAGCAGATAAACGTAGTAGAAGAAGACCACCTACACGTTGGGCGCACGACATCAGGCGTATCACGAAAAATTGGCAACAAAGAGCACAAAATCGCAAAGAATGGAGGAGTTTAAGGGAGGCCTATGTCTAACAGTGGACGTGATAAATAAAGTCTGGATGATGAGGATGATGATGAAACTAAAAAGTTAAAATTTGCAAGCGAAATTTGAGGCATAACACCTTTGGAATTGTTTGTTTGTGATATCGCATATCAAACAGCTATTTATTTGAACAATTATTTTAGTACATATATTAAAACTTTTTAAAATTCTGCAATTAATTTTTTGTCTTTAGGATTTTTTTATTATTTGGTTCTAGATTTGAATTATTTAATTGTTTTTCGATATAATTCTATCTGAATGTTTAAAATTTCAGATGTTCTCAAATATTTAATTACTTTATTGCAGTCCCTCACAACTGATTGCCATTAAAATGATTACAATACTCTGGAAGCTACGATTTGAATAAACTGAATTAAATGAATATTTAAGTGTATAACCTCAAAAAGCGTAATATTTAAAAAGCTAAAAGAATTGCAGTAACGTATTTTATATACGTGAACTGATTGAAATTTTTATTTAGAAATACCTAATGTTTTATTCAAAAGGGAATATTTTTAAAACTTTTCATTAATTTTGAAAATAATCAAAAAGTTGACATGTTTATATCAAGAACGATTTTAAAAATTTAGATTAAAAATTACTTATTTACGTGTTTACCAATTTTTTGTCTTGTTTTTAAGAATGATAAGGGTGAGACAACCGCTGGCGTCCGATATTCGCCGATGGATGTGGCGAAATACATTTTTTGGACAGGGGATGAAAAGGGAGTCACTTCATCCATCGAAGAATTTTTGAGAGAAGAAATTGTAAGTAATGATATGAAAAGCTTTTTAATAAATATTTAAGGATATATATGTGCAATTGTACAAATTAAAAAATACACAACACTTAATTGATATTATGATCAGAATTTTGCGTAACCTTATTATAGTGTATTTTTATGTATGAGAAAGTAATAAAACAATAAATTATGTATGCAAATCCCTAAACTGTTGATACGGGTGACTCAATGGAAAACAGATATTTGTCAACAAGTTTACAGAAGTATATAATAATAATAATAATAATAATAATAATTGGTCGAACTATTGGTTGACATCAGGAAAGATGTTTCCCGAGACTGAGGGTTTCCTACTTGCCATTCAAGATCAGGTTATTCCAACTAAAAATTACCTGAAATATATTGTTAAAGATCCTCAAGTCCAAAACGACAAATGCCGATATGGATGCCAAGCCCAAGAAACCATCCAACATCTTACCGGTGGCTGCCAGGCATTTGTCGGTACTAATTATAAAGAACGCCATGACTCAGTAGGAAAGATTATCCACCAAGAACTAGCTGACAAACTGGGACTTCTCCAAACCGACCATCTTCCTTATTATCAATATGTCCCTGACAGAATGCTTGAAAATGACAACTACAAGCTATACTGGGACCGCACTGTGCTCACAGACCAACCAGTGGCCCATAATAGACCGGATCTCATACTAGTGAATAAAATTACCAGGCAAACAACACTTATTGATGTGGCGATACCTAACACTAACAATTTGCTTGTTAAATACAACGAAAAGATCGCCAAGTATAGGGATCTGGAAATACAAATCAAGAGACAATGGAGAATGGAAAGTACCCAGACAGTACCTATTGTTCTATCTACTACTGGTGTTATTCCCAAGAACCTCCTAGTGAACATAAAACAGCTGGGTCTAAATGAACATCTTTATAAGGCCATGCAGAAAGCTGTACTCCTCGCGACCTCCAGATGTGTACGAAAATTCCTGGGAGATACTCCGACATACCAAGTCACCTAGGGCTCGATAACACGGAAAGAGTCCCACCAGAGCTCAATACTTTTGATACCGTAGGTATTTGGGATGAGTGAATTTTCCCCTTAGAGGGAGTGTGAGCCGTATGGCTAAATCTGGATAATAATAATGTTTATTAATTCCATATACATTGTATAAAAGTACAATAATTTAAGTATGTTATTTACACATCGAAAAATAAACATCTGGTACTACCCGTTAAAACCAAAATGGTCAAGCACGGGCGTCGTGTGTGCATTGTGTATTTGATACATTAACAATCCAATAGGTAAACTACATATAAATAATAAAATAATTCCAATTATACAATAATTTTATATTTCAGTTTGTATAACGTATTTTTATAATATTTTGATGATGAATACTATACTTATTTTGATTTTATAACTTTCAGGTAAGCAAAACTATTACTAAACTATTACTATTATGACTGAACTATTAGTTGTTAATTCCATTAAATTTTGTATATAAAATCGATCCAAATTGAGAATATATTTTTTAAATATTGATTTTATCATTACCAGTGAGTTGAGAGTAGTTAGGTATATTTTATATTTATCAGGTAAGGCATTGAATATTCTTGGAGCTTGATAGAGGACGTATCGTTGACCTAATCTTTTTTTGCTACTTCCAGTTTTAACATGTTTATTTGTTTTATTGCGGGTTTCATAGGGATGGCATAGTTTATGCAGTATATGTTTTCTATTATATATGTAGACTAACATGGAATACATATATATTTGTCTTGTATCCATTACTTGGCTTCAATAAATAGATAGATAGAAGGAATAGATAGATATAGGAAAACAATTTTAAATTGAGTATGACCACCAGGTATAAAGGTTGGAGCAGAATAGAATACAATAGTTGTGAGGGTTACTAATCCCTAAATAAGGTTGCCAGTGTCGGAGTGATGGAGGTTAACAGGTACTAATGAATTTGCAAGAAATGTAAGATGTTTATTTTATTGGTTATATATAACCAATAAAAGTTTAATAAGTACCTACCTATTTGCAAAATAAAGTTTAATTCTTTAGATAAAATAAAACGTTTTATTTTATCTGAAATGAGTGCATTCCACGAAGTAAGGGTTTCAACAATCAAACATTTAATTCTTTAATTCCAGGAATCTACGACAGTAATTGACTAGATAATTACCTTCTAAACTTATTCCACAGAAAATGTGATAGTGGATTTTTTCATTCTGTAGGAAGGTCCAAGTGGCGTATTCAAAATTCTTAACAGTTCACTAAAAGTAGGTACTTCAGTTGCAAGGTGCAGTTTATTGTGTATACTAGCGTTATGGAAAATTTTGAAGTGCCGTGTAAACGCCGAAAAATTGTTCCTTTAACAGTTAATGAAAAAACATTAATATTCAATTGTTTTAAATCATTTACAGACAAACGTTTATGTGAAAGTTTTAATGAGACCGTTGAGTTAGTTAGCAGTACACTTGGTGTTGGGAAATCTACGATTTACAGAGTTATTAAAGAAGAGAAATGTGGTAGTTTTCAAATGCCACGTAATGCTCCAGGGAAACCAAAATTTCAAATAGAATATCATTTTAAAGAAGGACTTCGACGGAAAGTGCATGAATTCTTCTTTAGACAAGAATTTCCAACATTGGATAAAGTTCTTGTCTCAGTTCGAGATGATAAAGATTACCCAGAAATGAGTCGAAGTACGTTATGGAAACTTTTAAAATAAATAGGCTTCCGCTGGAAAAAGAATCCCAGAAAGTCTATTTTATTAGAAAGAAGCGATATTGTTATATGGAGAAGACATTTTCTAAGAACCATAAAGGAAATGAGAAACCAAAAAAGAAAAATATTTTATCTTGATGAAACATGAATCAACGAGGGTCATACACGAAATAAATTTTGGCAGGATAAAACTGTTACAAGTCAAAGGCACGCTTTTGTAAATAACTTATCTACTGGTTTAAACCCACCATCAGGAAAGGGACGCAGGCTGCTAATAGTACACATTGGCAGTTCAGACGGTTTTGTTGAAGGTGGTTTATTAACTTTTGAATCAACTTGTACCGGTGACTACCATGAAGACATGAACGCTGATGTCTTTCAAGAATGGTTCGAACAAATGATATATCTTCTTCCTAAGAACTGTGTAATAGTAATGGATAATGCAAGTTATCACTCCAGACTTATAGAAGGACTGCCCACAACCAAGTGGTTAAAAAAAGACTTGCAGAATTGGCTGAGTTCAAAAAATATTACGTACCATCCCGGATCTATAAGAAAGGAACTTTATTCGTTGTGTGCCCTTCATAAAGAACAATTTAAAAAATACAAAATTGATTAAATTCCCAGAAATCGTGGAATGACAGTACTTAGATCCCCACCGTATCATTGTGAATTAAACCCGATTGAACTGGTATGGGCACAGATAGAGAGTTTCAAGAAAAAATACCACTTTTAAAATTCATGATGTTAAACAGTTGTTTTTGGAGGCCGTAAATAATGTAAAACCTGAAAACTGGGAAAATGCAGTAAATCACACTATTAAAAAAGAGGAAAAAATGTGGAAGCTGGACAATATTACTGATAAAATGATCGAGCCACTTATTATAAATCTTGGTTCTGAAAGTTCATCGTCTGAATCTGAGTTGGATTTGTAACAAGTAGCTGTAAGTTTTATATTAATATTTTTATTCATCTAACATACCTTAGACGGTTTTAAAATCTATTTTTCTCTTTTGTAATTTTTAAAAATTAAAAAAAATGTGAATTTTTTAAAACCCTTTTTAATGTAGGCCAGTCAGTTCTAATATAGTGTGTAATAAAAGAGGTCACTTTTGTTTACATACACATAACACTTTATAACACTGAAATAATTCATTTATTTTTTACAATTATTCAAAGTCATTTTTCAATTAATCTTGAGCACGCCCATGGAGTGGTCGAAGGTACCAGTTAAAATTATGCTAATTACTCTCTCGTTCATAAAAATAAACTATAGGGACAATAATAAGAAACTTAACACACACGTTGTTTATGTCTTAAATTTGTGGAACACTTGGAATAAATTATAACGTTAAAGAAACATTGAAAATTGAAATGCAGCGCTCCCTACTAAATACTTGATCATACACTTGATTGTGAATACACAATCTTGATTTACTTTTTGTTACAAAAAATCTTCAATTAAAAATTAAAAATAATGAGAGTAATTTACCAAGGTAAAAAAAGGTAAGACTCTACTAACTTGGACCAAATAATTCACTTTTACAAAATTTCATTGTAATCGGTTTAATGGTTTCAAATATTAGCATAAACAAATATCGTGGCACAAGATTTTTATATACATATCGCACCTCAGCTAAAAAAGAGTCACAACTCAAAAAACGTTATTTTGATAAAATTGATGTTAAAGATTTCGATTCAGTTAAATATCTTTTTGTCAGTTCCATAACTAAATGAAACCTGATATGTTATTTTGTTGTAAACTAGAATATCTTAGCTCAGTGTTATTGGTGCATTATTTTTCTCAAAAAATTTAATTTTTGTAGTTCCTAGTGAAAAAGTAGAAACATGCCGATATTGTAACACTTTTAGAACAAGATATTATCATTTTAAAAATCACGTTGTTAGACTATAATAAAACAATAAAAAAGAAAAACACAATAAACTTTTGTATTTATTATTACAAAGAGTTATAGACTGCTGAATTACATTCAGGATGGGAATGTAATTATTCTTTACTAAATCCAAGAGATCTTTTTTCTTATTCTCTTTAATGCTAAGTCCACTTTTGTAGGGCTGTTGTAAGGTACTTGGAATGGTATTGTTTTTCTTCGACAGAGACCTACTTGCTTAAACTCTTTATCTTTATAGGAGGTTTTATAATTTAGGGTGGTAGGATTTTCTTTATTTAACTTAAAAACCTTTACTTCAGTGATCTTCAAAGATTTGATGCCTGTCATGCGTATATTGCCACATAATTTTTTAAACAAATA